AGACCACTTGGAGATATACGGGAAGTTGAAAGAAGGGATAGGGATGAAGACGTACTTGGACGGCCCCATGGACTACGCGAAAAATCTGAAATTGCAATTTCGAGTAGGCGATCTGGACTTGCCAGAACGGAGGGAGAGGTATTCCAGCCGTAGGAGAGAGGAAGAGGAGGATAGACACACATGTCCATGTGGCAAATCGGAGGAGAGTAGACCCCACATAGTTGGGGAGTGTGAGTTGTACAGGAAGGAAAGAGAGGATCTCGAGGAGGAAATGAGGCAGAGAGGGTGTGACATGGACAAGTTTGGTAAATTAGACAACAGCGAAAAAACGATCGCGATAATTGGGGATAGATGGTGGGCACAAGAGGCCCTAGAGGACGGGGATAAGATGTGCAAGAAATTTTTATGGAGTTTGTGGCAGAAACGTAAAGAGCTCCCAAATGTTGGTGGTGTCTCTAGTAGCGGGTAGGAACGGTGCTCCGTCTCGAAAGGGACGCGTGGTCAATGGTCAAATGACTACGGCAAGCAACAAATGAGTACGCCCCCCCCCGGAGAGAGGAAGAGGAGGATAGACACACATGTCCATGTGGCAAATCGGAGGAGAGTAGACCCCACATAGTTGGGGAGTGTGAGTTGTACAGGAAGGAAAGAGAGGATCTCGAGGAGGAAATGAGGCAGAGAGGGTGTGACATGGACAAGTTTGGTAAATTAGACAACAGCGAAAAAACGATCGCGATAATTGGGGATAGATGGTGGGCACAAGAGGCCCTAGAGGACGGGGATAAGATGTGCAAGACATTTTTATGGAGTTTGTGGCAGAAACGTAAAGAGCTCCCAAATGTTGGTGGTGTCTCTAGTAGGTGTAGGAACGGTGCTCCGTCTCGAAAGGGACGCGTGGTCAGTGGTCAAATGACTACGGCAAGCAACAAATGAGTACGCCCCCCCCCCCCCCCTCCTGGGGGAACAAAACTCTGTCCTCTAATGGACACGTGGTCAATGGTCTAAGAACGCGGCGTGCCCCGATGGATTTTCGTCGCTTGGCAACGGCCTTGTAAAACAAACCGTTTACTTCGTGAGCTCGGCAACCAACCCCCCCCCCCCTCCCCCCGCGGAAATGTTGCCCAAAATAGGCGAAGTGGGCAAACAACAAGAGGGGTAGACAACCCACGGAATGGGTCAAGGTTGTAGAGGACGTATGGAAGGGGTTAGACATCGACGAAGATGAAACGCTGGAAACGGAGGGTCTACAGGGGTTCAAGGAGAAGATATCTGTTGCTCGTGCCGAGAGAGAAGAACATAATCTAAGGAAAGAAACCGAGGATAAGGAGGGTCTAGAAGTGTACGGAATGTTGAAAGAAGGAATAGAGTTCAAGGACTACCTACATGGACCAATGGATGCAGGGACAACGCTTGAGGTCAAATTCAGGACCGGGGACATAGGCCTTCCAGAACGTCGACGATGACATAGGACGGTAGACGACGAAGACGACAAGTTCAAATGTGATGCGGCTTCGAATGCGAAGACCGTGCTCATGTAGTCGCGGAATGTCCGTGGTACGAAGAAGAGAGGGAAGTGTACATGACTGAGCTGGGAACAATACAAGGGAGGTACAGGGAAATGTTTGAGGCATGGAATAGAGAGGAGAGGACGGTAGCTGTACTGGGGAGAAGGAAGTGGTTTGAAAAGGCGGGAAGGGATATCGTTAGGATAGACAGACTAGGAAAGACATTTTTGAGCCACCTTTGGCAAAGTAGGAAGGAACGATTGGTCATCGGTGATCGGTCCTGTGGGAACAATGCTCCGTCCTCTCGAGGACGCGTGGTCAATGGTCTAACCGCTAAGACATGCAAAACATACGAGTACGCCCCCCCCCCCCCCCCCCCCCCCCCCC